CCTTCAATACATGATCTTTTAAGGGACACTAAAGACCCAAGCTATAGCAGCCTTATGCACATGGAAGTTTTGAGAAGCAATGACCTTGGCTCATAGATTAATTTCCCCAGTTACTTCCTGGCCCACACAAAGAGATCTCCATTTACTAACTCCAAAAGGAGACTCATTCCCAAGGGACTGAGCTGCATGGGACTTCCTGTTCCCCCACCCACCTGATAGATTCTTACAGAAAGTCCCTGCTCCCAAGTGTGAGGGGCCAGTGCTTTTTCTGATGGCAGCTGCAGGCTCTTCCTGACTAGTCCTGGCTTCAAGATAATGCCTTTCACATCTCTTTCAGCTCAGCTGGCCCTGGAGACCCAAAAGAATGAGAAGGTCCATCTCCCAACCCTGGTAAGGACAGAGGCAGACAAAAGTACCAGCTGGGATTCCTGTGGGGCTGGAGATCTGCTGGGCTCTGCCCACCTCTGTCTTCCTCCTGACCCCAGAGGCAGAGCTTGCCCTCTACCTGGGCAGAGGAATCCCTGTGAGCCCCGAGATCAACCCTTCAGGATATGATCTGGACAGAGTGCCCATTATCACCCCTGATTTCCTGCCAGGTGCCGGGCAGAAGGGTGTAAGGATCCACTTGAACGTGTCTCCCCCAGGCCCTATACCCTGTTCTCATCTCCTTTTCAGAATCAGAGGACATCAGGACTGGGTCCCAGGCTTCCTCCCCATCCTTCCCCTTTTGCACTGGGGATTGAACCCAGGGTGGGTTCTTTCTTTTTCTTTTTCTTTGTTTTTGTTTTTAGGTGTATATGAAACTAGAGTATATTTTGACATATCCAAGGATGTTTTACCACTGAGCTACACCCCCAGTCCTTTTCTTTTTTTTGAGACAGGGTCTCACCACGTTGCTTAGGACCTGCCTAGGTTGCTGAGACTGGCCTCAAACTTGTAATCCTCCTGCCTCAGCCTCCCGAGTCTCTGGGATTACAGGCGTGCACCACTGAGCCGCCTGGCTAATCCAGTTTTTCTCTAAATCCAATGCAAATCCCATTTTACCCCTTAGCACCTAGGGGTGAGAGAACTCTTAGAAATGCACTATCCAGGCCTGTGCTAATCCCTCTAGGGCTGGGTCCAGCACACCAGAGTGTGGCAATTACAGACTCTAGTGTGCTTTTGCAAAAAAAAGAAACTGAGGCCCTGAGA